GGTTTCAAACGTTGGAAATGACAGAATACGAAAGAAAGAAAACAACATGGAAAAGTTGAGGAAAGAAACAGATGCCCTCAAAGAAATCTCAGGTGGACTTCCCCAACCAACCAACAAACAAAAAAAAACCCTAAAAAGTATAGAGAACTTCTAGAAATGAAAAACGTAACTGTTGACTATAAAACCTTGCAGAAGAAATTAACCAGAAATTGGTCTGTAATTAAATACTTAAAGAGTGGTGCTTTTTGATAAATGAAAGACTGAGATGGCCTACCACTGGTCCGTTATCACTAAAGGAACCCCCAAAACACTCTTTAAGGGGGTGAAATAAGCCTGGTGGGAAGGTGGAACGCAGAAAGGGTTCATAAACAAAGAACTGGGTTAACAGGAGGGGCTATGGACTGAATTGCCTCCCCGCCCCCAATCCATAAGTGAATGTCCTAATCCCCAGTGTGACTGTATTTGGAGTAAGGAAGTAACTAAGGTTAAATGAGGTCATGAGGGTGGGGCCCTAACCCAAAAGAATCAGTATCCTGCCCTAGTCAGTTTGGCTCAGTGGTTAGAGCGCTGGCTTGTGGACTGAAGGTTCCCGGGTTCGATGGGTTCGATTCCGGCCAAGGGCACATACTTCAGTTGCAGGCTCGATCCCTGGCCCCGGTCGGGGCTCATCCGGGGAGGCAACGAATCGATGTCTCTCTCTCACATCGATGTTTGTCTCTCTCTCTCCCTCTCTCCCCCTTCCACTCTCTCTGAAAAGCAATGAAAAAAAAAAAAAAAATCCTTGGGTGAGGGTTGAAAAGAAAAAAGAATTAGTATCCTTAGAAGATGAGATAGCAGCGAGCTCTCTCTGTCATCGCCACGTGAGGACACAGGGAGAAGGCTTCCTTCCGTCTGCAAGCCAGGAAGCGGTCCCTCCCTCACCAGACACTGAACCAGCCATACCTTGATCTTGGACTTGCAGCCTCTAGAATGTGAGAAATAAAGGCCTGTTGTTTCCACCACCCCATCTATGAGGTTTCGTTGTAGCCACCGGAGGAGCCCCCTAAGCCATGTGGGTCAAGGCCAATCAAAACGCACCCTGGCTAGCTAGCACAATAATAATAATTCCTGTTTTGGGAGGGGAAAGAAAATAAGATAGAGAAATAGGATACAAACAGCGTTAAGGCGGCAGGTGAGTAAGTTGAAGTGTTCTCTGTTTTTTGTGTGTCGTTCACAGGGAGGTTGTAGATACTATAGAATTTAGACATTGAGTCGGTGCCAAAGTGATGGAAATGGAGTTTTGACCTTCTGCATGTGTATGAGAATGAGAAGTGAATAACTGAGCGAAAACGGATCAAAGAAAGAAAAATTATCAAATAGTTGATGACAGAGCAGCCACAATACGTAATATCACCAGCTCAGAGAGATTATCAGGTGGAATTGTCTTAATCCAGAAAAAGACACACTAAAAACGTAAGACCCCTGAAAAGTTCACCGTAAAAGAGGGAAGAAGAGACAGCAGACTTACACTATTAATTTCAAACTGACTGTAAGGCAAAAATCACTTACAGGCATAAATGACTAAATGTTCAACTCACCAGGAAAAACCTGTTTTTTAACAATTGAGAATTTATATGTAATAGAAGCCCTTCAAAAGGGATAGAGTAGAAAGTGTTACCCCTGCAAGGAGAGACTGATCAACCCAGAAACAGCAGAATACTGAAACACATCTCTCCAGATAATAGACCCGAAGGCAAAAGTTCAGTAAGAGCGTTGTTCAACAAACTGAATTAATACACGGACATTACACCCTGCACCCAACAACTACAGAACAGGCTTTCCTCTCAAACACAAGACACCATCATGGACAATTTTAAGTACTTTAAGTGGAACAGTTACCAAAATTCAGAAAACCAACAAAACCCCAAAACTTTTTGGGATAAAGCTAAAGCAACATCCAGGGGGAAACTGATAACCACTTCCAAAGGTGAATGCTTCTGATAGAGTTAGTAATAAGAATAATGGAAATCAGTTAAGAGAAAATTATAAAGTGGCAGAAACTAACGAAATAAAACTCAAGGACACGACGAAAGGAATGAGAGCTGGACTAACAGCAGATGAGACACAACCCAAGAGAGGGATTCAGTGCACAAGAAGAGTGGGTCGCAGAAATCATCCAAGTGGAGCACGGCTGCGTTGCTGCTGCTGTTTCGTGTTGTTGGTCCTCACCCGAGGGTACTTTTTCCGTTGATTTTCAGAGAGAGTGGAAGGGAGGGAGGGAGAGAGACAGATTGAGAGACACATCGATTGGTTGCCTCCTGTATGCTCCCGGACCAGGGCCCGATCAAACCGGCAACTCGGGTAGTGACCTTGACCGAGAATCGAACTCTCGACCCTTCGTTGCATGGGCCGACGCTCTGACCACCGAGCCACACTGGCCAGGGCTGGACCAGGACCTTTTTTAAAAGAACGGAACGTACAGAATCCAGCTGGATCCTGGGGACCAACGCGCAGCAGAAGGGCTACCAGATGTGTGTGCAGCTGTCCTCACTGGCACGTTTCTTTACCAACCCTGTCAACACCCTTTGTGGCATAACTCTGCAGGCCCTTCAACCAAAGGCTGGGTTTATTTCCCTGACCTTGACTTTGGGCTCCATCGTGTGACTTGCTTGCTGGGGGCAATGAGCTGTTAGCAGATGTGACCCAGCAAAGCCTTGACATGAGCTTGTGTGGCTGGGATCGCCGTCATATGCCTCTAGCGCTGTCCTGCGAAGGCAATGCCCACTCACCCGCCGGTAGCAGGAGGAGGAGGAGGCCCACGTGTAGCAGAACCATCCCAGCTGACCCAAGACCTGTGGTGAGAAGTAGATCTGCCCAGCTGAACCCAGCTTCTCTACAGACACACGGGTGACAATGACTGATGCTTTCCCTCAGGGGCTTTGGGGCCGCTGGGTGGGCCGAAGAAACTAACGATAAGGAGCATCACCAAGAGGAAGAGAAAGAGATGGACAGACACAGCATTTCAAGGTCTAGGAGCTAACAGTTTTCCAATACCCAGCCCCGCTATCAATACCCAGTCCCATAGATTTAAGACAGTCTTAAGAAATTGAAGCAGGGTGGGAAAAGTGACACCCAGACACACCGTCGTCAACCTGCTAAACACCAAAGACAAAGAGAAAACCTTCGAAGCAGCCAGAGAAAACAGTCACAATGCTAAAGGGGCAACAGGACGACTAATAACCGAGACCCAAAGAGAGAAAATAAGCCACGAGAGACAGAAGACAATGGAATGAGAATGTCAAGCTAGTGGAAGGAAATAACTACTAATCTAGGACTTTGTACAAAAACAAGAATGTCCTTCACAATTCTATGGTGAAGACAGATTCAGAGAAACAATCTCAGAGAGGATAACACCTTGTACCACTCTGGAAAAATATAGGAGGCAGAAGAAAACTGATCTCAGCCCTGGCTGGCTTGGCTCATTGGCTAGAGCGTGGGCTTGCGGACTGAAGGGTCCTGGGCTCCGTTCCGGCCAAGGGCACTACCATGGTTGCAGGCTGACCCCCACCTCAGTCCGAGGGCATGGGGGGCAACCAGCCCATGTGTCTCTCTCACAGCCATGCTTCCCCCACCCCCTCCTCCACTCTTTGAGTAAAGCAATGGAAAAAATATCCTTCCATGAGGATTAAAAACCAACAACAAAGCGAGGGCGGGGGAGAGGGAGGGGCGCCGCAGGCGGCAGCTGCGGAAACACCCCGCCGGGAGCGCGGGCCCAGGGCGCCTGGGGGACGGGGGCGAGGCCTCACCTGCGAGGGCAGCGGGCCGGGCGGCCCACGGGGCAGGAGTCCGCGCGCGGAAGGCCTAAGCGTTTTGACATGAACGCGAACAGGCAGCGATGGTCCAGAGAACTTGACTGACGGACAATGAAACAAACTTCGCGCGCCCCTGACAAGAAAATACACAGAAGACCTGGCGCGGCTCCCAGGCCCCAAGACCGCAGCATGGCGCGCCCCGGGGCTGTGCTTCCCCTGCCCTGCATCGGGACAGGGCGGGTGAGGCTGCGGCCGCCGGGCCGCAGCGCGCAGCTGACCGCCGGA